CTATCCCCAGCCTTTGGTTCTTTAAGTCCCAGAAGGCACATTGCTTCTCTTAAGGAAACAGAGTTACAAAGGTCTTTATTCATTCAGTTAGACCTTCACTTACATATTACATTGCTGCCACTGCCACATGTAAAAGACTGGGCTTAAGTTCAAGAAAATGAACTGGCTTCTTCAAAGAATTTCCAGAGCCAAATTGGTATAGTGAAGAGAATATTGTATTTGGAGATTCTGTGCTTTAGTTCTGACTCTGGCTGGCATTCACAGCAATCTGTCTCTGCACCAAGTCAGTTGACCCCATTTAGTTACAATTTTTCAGCTTGAAATTTAGTGGACTACATAATTTGGCTTTTAAAAATGTTTCTACAATTACTACAATTTATTAAAAGCTAATCTTGTCCCAGCCAATATGCAAATAATTCTGGTGGCCCTGATGGTTGATCTTAGTCATCAACTTGATGGTATTTAGACATATTATGGAAACTGTGATGGGATTTTTAGATGATGTGGGATGCACTATCCTAACTATAGGAAGCACCATTCCATGGGCTCCAGTCTCCATCTGCATGAACAGAAAAAAGGATGCTGAGTAGCAATGTTCATCTCTCTCTGCTTCCTGACTACAGACACAATGTGACTGACCAGCTGCCTCACATTCTGGCAGCCATGTTCTCCTTGTCAGGATGAACCATACCCTGAAAGTGAAGTCCTCCTTACCTAATCTTGCCTCTTCTGCCAGGTATTGTGTTACAGCAATGGGAAAAAGATAATCCAATGGGGATCACTATTTTTTCCATTGTGTTTATAGGAAAACTTAAGACCTCTACAGCAATATTCCCCAAGTATGTAAGACAGACATAAAATGAAGGGTTCAGTCTAGGCTAATCCCAAAGTCATCATGCTCCCATATTTAAAAAAAAATCAGAATATACTTTGAAAAACATTAAGCTGTCTAGCTGAGGGTTAAGTAAGTGCTCCTTATGTTAGCCCAGGTTGGCCTTATCTCACTTTACCTCAGTCTCCCTTGTGCTAAAATTACAGGCACATGTACCATGCCTGACAAACTTATCTGATCTTATGGTACCATTTCTTTCTTCTTCTTCCATCTGCATGAACTTTAATAGGTATACTCTCTTAATTGCTTCTTCTTAATATGTAATAATCATGTTAAATTCTGTGGTGGTCCTAAAATGTTGTGCTCTCTTTCTGGCTTTCACCAGAGATACAAATTGCATATCTCCAATTTGCTAATCTTCTTACTACACTGGTGGCTTGCCTTTCCTGAGAATTCTAAATTCCCACTTTATTAAATACCAACACAAAAGTTTGCAAGCTTTAGCATGGAGGAGAGAAATGAGTGAGAAATCTAGTTTCTCAGATCCAGTTTACTTTTATAGAGGAGGAATGGATCCATGTGCCACATTTTTGTCTCCAGAAACTCTGCCAGACTTAGTATAGTCTGGTTCATTAGAAACATATAATAAAATATTCTTCACAACTCAGTTCTTCAAGTTCACTTTGATCAATACTTCATTACCTAAGTTAGAGCTGCCAAAGGGGGCAAACTTGTCAGCCCATTTGTCCCATATTTGCATGAATATTATGCTGTGAATGTTACGCTCCTTTGAACTTCAAAAGAACTTCCTGGCCTCATTGACTACAACTTTAACAACAGAGCATAATGGAGTTATAGAAAGATCTTTTCCTGGCTAAAGACCTCAAACTTTGCTGATGCTGGACAGTAGCAAACTTTTACATAAGCAACAAATGGCTCATTCATCCATTGCAGTGCACTATCAGTATTTCCTGGTGTCCTTAGCCTGTCTTCCTGTTTGTGAAAGTGACTACAACTATAACTAATTATCTAGCAGCAAGGGGCAACACAGGCCTTCACCACTCCTTGTGAAAAGAGTTTTCTGCATACAAAGAATTTGTCCAAAAATTCTTCATTTTCCCCAGCAACTGAAAGAAGATCTTCTACCATAAGGGCACCCCACATGCATCCTATCCTGGCTGTTCCAGATAGGAGAGTAAACATGTTCTTGGACTTAAAAGAGTCTATTTTAACCAGCACCTGAAAACTGAGGCTTCCTCAAGTAAAATGGAGACAGGCAGCATGAACAGATGAAAAGTTTTAACACTTCTATATTTGTACATTTTCTCAAGTCTATAAAATTTAAAAATAACACTCCTTTTAATGTATTCCCATGCCTTCCTTTCTCCTGTACTAGACAGTAAAATGTAAAATATGTCTCTTTACTTTGAAGAACAACTTTTTCCCTTAAAATAATAGAAATTTCCACTTGTACAAATTCTGGAATATATACTATAAAAAGATCATAAACAGTTCTTACAAATCTACCACTCAGAGGCTTAAAAAGTAATTCTCTATTGTATTCCCATATATGCATCTAAATTTCACATGGAACAGAGACCTACAGATAAACTCCAGAAAACAAAATGCAGTAATATATGGTGGGAAAAACCTTCCAGGAAATTCAGTAGCCACAGTGGAAAAGAATACAATCTAGCCACACAGAATTTTAAAATTGATATACAAATGCAACTACAATAAGCAACTTCCAACAACAAATTATACATAAATAAAGCAAGCTCAAAAGAAAAACATGTAATTAAGAAGTCTATTTAAACTAAATGTTATTGAAAAGATCACATAGGAATAGGAAAATATCAAGGCAAAAATGAAATATAATTTCTACAATTAAGATGATCCTCCAATATAAAGATTGTAGCACTTTTAATAAAGAAATTATAAATGGGCATTCACACACAGGTAGCAGTAACTTAATGAAGAGCACTTTGACAGCAGTTAACAAGATGAAAACTGAAAGTTTCACCAATGCCCTTAATTTGTAATGTCAAAAAGTAGAAATAACATATATACCTATAAATAGAGGATGGTTAGTTAAACAATGGAACATACATGCAGTTGCAAATTATATAGGCATTAGAAAGATGACATTGTTGTTAAGAAATATTTTGATATGACCTGGAAGGTTATTATGTTTATATTTATCTTTCTGAATTTAAGAAAAAAACTTTATAAGGCCAACAAATACTTTTCAAAAATGAATTTTTAACACAATACTTGAATCATTTATGGGATATTTTTCATTGAATTGTTCTTTTCCACTGCTTCTGCTTCCAACTTGTCATTGTTAGTGAGTCAATATAAATATCTGCATGAACACTTGCATGTGTGATGGTAACATACATGAAGCATATGCTATGAGATTTCTTCTTTAGTAAAGATTAAATTTTGAGTATCTTTGATTTGGATGTGGCCAGATGCAGATGAAATGTCAGTAAGAATGACTACGATGGTGGCCTCACCATAACTATAATCTGAAATATTAGATCAAAACCAGTGCCTTCAGCCATCTGTTACACAATTACTTTTACACAAACCAAATATTAAAATAGCTTGAGAAATAATCAACACAAGGAAACATTAGAAAGTATCAGTTTAGGGCTCATAAATCATCGTTCTTTGCTTTGTCAACAAAGCTCTAAGTTTTACAGATAATATTCCTCAATGCTTTGTAAGTATGGACGACCTCCAAGAAGAGATGGCCTATTGAGAGTTATAATATTCCCCACGCAGCCATCAGCATCGCAGGCTATAAGGGAAACATCTTTCTAAGAGACCAGGAATTTTTACTCCCCACTGGTTGTGAACTGAATTAAGAAGGAACAGACAACATTTCTATCACATGTACTTAAATAAGAAGAGAGTGTTCTGATGTGATGGAAGGAAACGTAGGTGATGTGAGAAAGACAAGGGGAGAGGCTGATTCAAGTTTCCTTTCATTGTCTTCCATTTATGCCTCAGTCATGCCTAGATATCACTACAGATCACTGATGCTGAAGTTCCTTATCCAATGAATTTTTTTTTCTCCCAGGAAGAAGACCACTCGCAGAGGAAATCATTGCGGGACAGAAACACAATGATGGGATAGGCTTGGTTCTCCCCTCCACGTCAACAAGTCTTCTGCCTCCCATATTTAATTCTATGTATAGAAGAGATAAATGTTTGTGATGGGATTCAGATACTGCCACAGCTCCTACCAAGAACATTTTACAGTTCCATCTGATGAATAAGTTCAGTGGAGCACAGAATATGCTCTTACTAGACCAATTCCACTATGTGCTTCTTTTTTTTGTTTTTTCTTTTTTTGTCATTGTTTCTCTAAATAGGAGCCAAGCTCAGTCACTTCCTCCAATTTAGAGCAGGCGTTCACCTCAAAAGTGGCTGCAAGTGGCCGAAAGAAGTTGAGGCCTACACTGTTCAAATGCAGCAGAGAACTTGTAATAATAATAGATTCATCAGTGCCAGAAAAAGGGGGGGGGGGTTAATTACACTTCACACACACACACAGCCCTCTGTTTCCTCTAATATGTTAAGCCATATGGACAGTTGATTTTTCTAGAACTACTCCCTGGGTTTGGGTGGACATTCTTTTCAATAAATGACATCTAATTTCTTAACAGTTCTTGGAAGCTAAATTTCATCACTGGGTCTGAGTCCAGTTCCTTCACTGATTTTTCAGTATTACAGATATGCAAGGTCTGCCTTTCTTTGCCTTTTTGTTTTTTTTTTTTCTTTTTGTTTTACTCTTTTTAATAAACTAAAACTCTACTGAAGAGTCTGAAAATGGGAAAAAATCCAGCTCATCTGTCAGATATTTCTAGAGTTACGTAAAATGGAATGATATTTCTACAGTTGAAAACAGGAAAGTAAAAATCTGTCATGTGTTCTTTGAGAAAACTATATGATAATCAGAAAAACAGCCTCAAGTTTAGTTGGACTGATTCAAAGCTCTCATTTTTTTTATCAAGTCATGCATAAATCAGTAACAGTTACTTTCTTCTCATAGAAAAATGCCACATTTGAGCTAATCATAATCCCTACAGATTATAAACACAGGTTCAAAGATATGATGAGTTTGAGGGATTTTTTTTTTTTAATGCAAGACACTTACGTTTTACTTGCTCTGTTTTGCTTCCTTCTAGGAAAATAAAGAACAAAACCAAGGAGACTATATATTTCACGCCTCCCATTTTCCACGTTCTTCTTCTTTGAGCTACTGCAAAATGTAACTCAGAGACTCCAAGAACTGATGGACTAAACCTGTTGAGAAGAAAGCAGAAAGAAGTAATAAAAACAGATCCCTTGGAACTGATGAACATGAGTGATACTTAGGTTTCTAACTTGCTAGAAAAATCACTGAAGAATGTACCGGAGTGCAGGCATTGTTTGTAGAAGACAAAGGACTTGCCTCTTTTGTAAAGATTATGAGAGGAAATTCACATGAGTTGAGTACATATTCCTGTGCAGCACTGAGGCTAAATCCTTACAAGTAAGTTATTGGAGAAAAAAAATTGAAATTTTTTCTAAAGAAATTGAAATCTATTTCTTAGGACATTTTATTGTTGTTGGGTGTAGGTAGAAAATCAGGAAATTTGAGTTTATAAAAAAAGCTATTTTGGCAAATTGTGCACAAGGAGAAAACTTTCAACTGCAATGATGTCTAAAACCAAGCATAGTATAGTCTTAGCTTCAGACTAATATTATCATTAATCCTTTAGCGTCTTTCCTCAATCGGTGTTTCTCTTGTATCTTCTATAAGATCTAAAAGAATCTTCACTATGAGTGCTGATGTTGGAAAAGATAGATGTAATCTGATAATGAATGCAATTCAGCATCTGAGACATTTCACCACTTAGAACAATTCAGATATATCCTTTCCCATGAAGTCCATTGGGAAAGGAAATGTAAAATGGGTAATTTTAAAAGAAAACAAGCAAATTTCAACAGCGATTCATTCAATTTGTCCCACCACGCAAGAGGCTGTTAAAGCAACCACAATTCTTTAAAAATAGGCATTGGTGGGAAGGATTGAAATCTTCATCTTTTGAAGCCTTAAAACACAGAGAATTTGCTTGCATCCTGTCACAACTATTTTCCATGGACTTTAGAGTTTATAAAATTCTTCCAACAGGAGATTGGAAAGTATTTAAATATTCTGGAAGCATTGCATTCATTCTGGTGTTAATCCTGAATAGTAATTTATGCACAGTGGTGTTTTCAGAGAATCCAATGTAAATATTGAACATAAACTATGTATTTGAAGGAAAGAAGTGTATGATGCTCACTTTAGAGAACTGAATCTTTTTTGGGCTCTAAAGCGGATGTTACAGTTTTACTTTAAATGCTATGAAACTGTTGTGATCATTAAAAAATTCATTATTTTGGTCCAGCCTTGAGGTGCATGCTTGCAATCCCAGGAGGCAGATGCATGAGGATCACTCCAAGTTCAAGATCAATAGGGTTATACAGGGATACTTTGTAAAAAAAAATGCTGCAGATTATTAATCCATGCACACCTGAGAACAAATTGATGTTACAGAATTGTTTGTGCTAGCAGGCTGATTTGTACCACCCATCTGCTTTCTTTTTCAGCTCTCCTAGCACATCATGAAAGGTTCAAATTCTCCTAGGGTGCATCCTTAGCCTTGTGGAAGCCTCAGTTCTGATGCTTTTTATCTGTTCTGTAGTCCCCCAACCGACTTTCAGTCATTCAAAATATCCCTGTATATTGAGAGCCACTAGATCCCCTTGAAACAAAGCATTTTCATTAACAGTTTAACACAGCCACCCACCTCAACGGAGTTCTTTCTGAGCCTACTTTAATAAGCTTTTTCCTCTGAGCCTCCAAAGACAAAGATTTCTAACTGTTGAAATCTAATTTATCACAATCATATATGGCTCTCAGAGGGTACTTCTGAAAGCATGGCTTTTGAGTCTCCCCATGCAAGAATCAACAGGGTTGTTTTTCTTGTACAATGGTTGGGCGATTTGGTGAACAGTAGCATTGCTTCATAACTCAAGCTGGCAAGAAAATGGCCCTTAGAATTTTTGCTTTTCTTGGGTCCCAACTAAGGTTATGAGCAAACAGGAAAGTTGGTGACTAGAGAGCAATTAATCTCTTTTGGCATTCCTGTCATCTATGTGGCCTCCCAGGAGGTGATGGAGCACATCAGAAAATGAATCGTTTTATAAATATTCACTTGTGATTTACAAGATCCTGAAGTCTTGCCTTTGTATTTTTGTGGAGAAATATGAACTGAGACGGGTTTCCACTCGAGGGCTCCTCATTATTCTATTTCTCTTTATTCCTTTACCTTTCAATTTTGGGGCTGGGGTAGTAGAAGACATTTGCTGGGACTATAGCAAGAAACACAAGCATCACTCAGGAATCATCCGATTCTTATTCATGCAAAGAGCCAAAGTGTCCCTAATTTTTCAAATTATACTTTGACCCAGTTAACTGGAGTTATTTCTGCATTAACTCTCTGCTTCACACAGACTGCTGTGCTATTGAACTTGCACTGGCTCTTTGACAGGTTACTTAGAAATGTAACCACTGCCATGTTAGGGTGGAAGATACAGGACCCAAGAAGAAAGGAACAAAGAAAACATCCCCCCCACCTGCGCAAATAACCCTGGTGGTGAGGATGGGGTGAGAAAGTGTGTGGGCTTTCTAGGAGATGGAGAAATGTTTCAGATACCCGGGGAAAGGCATCTATCTATTCAGGTGCCTTTAGGAAATTAGTGTTCACATTGCTCGTTTGCATCAAGCAAAGAGACCAATTGCTTCTTGCTCAGCTGTAACTGCAAGACCATCTGGGCCCACTCTCCAAACAGGTCTCCTGAGCAGAACAGACCCAGAGACATCGCTAAGGAAAAGCCAAGGATATATAGTTGTCAGGCAGCCCTTCCCACCTGACAGTGTCTCTTTAATACTCAGGGAGAAGCTTGACTGACCTTGTAATTTCAGTCAATATCATCTGTGGGACATCCCCTTGGGTAGCATTATTCTTTCTGACAAACAATAAGACAGACACTGGAGACTTCGGTCCTTGCCCATAAGCTGAAATCCCCCAACAACAAAAGCTCAGTTAACTCCTGGGGAGGGGGCTGTTGCCAAAGAAAGAGGAGACATTGAGCCCAAGTGTTCTCTTTTCTCATGACTAAGAAAGCCTCGTTTGGGCTTATAAAACACTTTCTGATCTGCCATTGCATTTTCTTCCATACAATTATACCTTCAAACTTCGTGGCGTGCAGCGGAGAGAGAAGGAAATCAGACTTGAGTTAGTGGCAGGACTGGAAGGTAGGTTTCCAGGCCCTGAAACCTAGCAATCCTACTTGGTTTCCTGAGCCTAGTGTCTCAAACTCTGATCTCAGAGGTCTGGGCCCGGAAAAAAGCAGGGGTGGGGGTGGGGAGATGCCTAGAATAGACAGGGGCCTCTGCTTCACTCACCCTGTTTCATTAACGTATTGTGAACCAGTCCACAGCACTTCTCTAAAGGAGCAAAAAGAGCTCTTTCCTGAACACATGTAGTCATAAAGCAAAGCTCCAAGCCTATAGGTAGCTTGGCAGGGAGTGCCTGTACTGCCCTTGGAAGCTTAAGAACTACCAGAGCAAGTATAAATGCAGGCGGAACTGGGAGCCACAAGTTGCAGGTTCAAATCCTCATTCCCCATCCCATCTCATGGGATATCTAAGGTTCTACCTTTATTCCATTAGCAGGACCATAGATAGAACTGGTTGGGATGGCAAGTCCCACAGTTCAAGGTGCCCTGTGGGAACGAACAGGGGCAGTTCCAGCAAACAGAATGCACCCCAACTGTGAAAAGGTTGGAAAGCTAGGCAGGGGATGGGGGAAAGGCAGCAGGGCATTGCTTACTGACCTGGGCACTGGCCTCCTCCTTCTGCCACGCTTGCACACGCTCTGAGTTCCCTGAGGCGCTCCTCCGAGGTCTGGGGCTTGCAGGTTGTGGCGAGAGCTTGAGTGCGCGCGAGGGGGGAGGGGGGACTCAAAAGTGGGTGGGAGGAAAAAACATCACCGCCCTCGCACCACGAGGGAGCAGAGGCTCACTTGGCTCCAGGGGGCAGAGCCAAGGCGCGGGCACTGCGGCCCGGGGCCACCTGCCCGCCCGCTTGTCTGCTCCTCACTTGGCCAAGCAGCCTGGCGCTGGCGGGAAGTCCTCCAGCGAGCAGCCCAGCTGCTGTTAGCACTCACCGGTTCTTGGTCCCAGCACAGCGCTTTATTCCTACACCCCAGACCTGAAAGTTACAAGACGGGAGAAAGTGTGAGGCTCAGCAGGCACTTTCCCATCACGCAGCGCCCCACCACACACCCCTCCTTTGGCTAGTAGAGCGTTGGGGTCTTAAAGGGACCGCACATCTTCTGCAGCCCATCCTCCTCCTCTGCAGTGGATGCTCCCAGGATCTCCACACCTCTGGTCAATATCCTGAAGACCCTAACTCTAACTATCCATGGTTCCCCTGCCTGGATTCCCTACACCTTCTCTCATGAGGGGGCAAGGACCCTTCCCTCTGCACCTGGTCTGTTCCCAAGCCTGAGGTCTGTGTGCAAGTTGAACTGATCTCACAAATTACTCCCTAAAACATGTTTTATCATTTCTTGCCATTTCTCCTCTCCTCACTGTGTCAAGGGACAAAGACTTGGTGTTTTTATGGGGGTGATGAGGATAAGGGGTAAGGAAGGGGGATGGACATAGAAATCTCACATGCATGAAGAAATCGATCTCCCAATCCCCGGCCACGGAGGGCGGGGGATAGTTGGGGTATGACAGACCAACCAATTATTGTTAAATATATTTAAAAGATAAAAGAAAACACTTGAAGCAGCTCATCACCACCACCGTTTTAGAAGTCCTGCACATTTTATGTTGGACTAAGGTCCTGACTTTCAAAAACCACAGCACAGGGAGCAATGTTTCTTGGAGCTCATAGATACACTACTCCTGATGTGTGTTTCTGTGAAGAAATACAGTTATAGAGATTCATCATACTCCTCCAAACTCACGGAAGATCATTTTTGACAGACAGTACCCATTTGTACTTTAAGTGCCCACATTTAGAGGAGAGCTGAAGGGTGTTTTGTACATGAATTGGATGATACTGATATTTGAAACATCTGTGCTCCACTTCATGGTACTACATCAATATTAGTATTTAAAACCCTCACACTTTTCCTTATAATCTAAACTATCAGCAGCCTCAATTGTGAGGTACTATGAACCTCCTGTGCCATTCAGGTCAACTTCTTCATTCACAGAAATGGATACTAGCAGTGTGTTCATCCAAGGTCACACAGCTAGTAAATGACATATTTGAGATTCTAATTCATATATTCTGATTCTGAACTCTCTGCACTCTATGATCTCCATCTACAGATAGAAATAAAATTGATGTTCAACGAAATTATGGGTAGCTAAAAGCAAGCCAAAAGCAAGCAATGGAGTAAGCAAATAAGCAAACAAACAAAAACCCAATGAACAAATGAAAATTGAAGCAAGTATATTTGTTCTTGGAAGGAACCCTCTTTTTCTACCTACTTAAGCATTAATATCATTCAACCAGGCCTGGCATTGCTGGGCATGTTTATTTCACTGTTAACAAAGGAGAGACTCCCTTTCTGAGATGTTGCCTTGGGGGCTTAAAATGTCTAGCTCCAGTCTGTAGCCATACTTCTATAGCCATACATCAACACATGGGTTCAATTTGACTAGTAAATTAGTTTGAACTTGGAGATTTGTTGCCTTATAACTGCTTCTGTGCCATTTAATGTGCGGATATTCTGTATCACTAAGCAGAGTTCTTCAAGGACTAGAACTGGTGTTCAATTTCTTTGTGTGTGTGTGTGTGTGTGTGTGTGTGTGCTCCAACTCTCATCATCCCTTCCAACATGTTTACAGAAGTATTCATGGGTTTTAAGAACCAGTGACAATCATGGATCCTAGCTTTTGAAATAGACTCATTGAGTTTTAAAAGCTCATCTAGCTGGCTAAAACCACTCACCCCTGCTGGTTGATATAGTATCTAGATTACTGAATGATAAAACATCCCCACACTTAGTGGCTTAAAGCAAGTTACCATTGTCAATTGGTTCTGCTTAATTAGTTCTATTGAATCAACTCAAGATCATTTATATATTTTTTTGGCAACAGTAAACGTGGCTGCTGTAATTCCTTGAGCAATTCTTTATTAGTATAAATGTTGTGGTCTGTCTTTTAGCTCTGGTGTTAATTCTTAAATTGCAGCTGTACTTTAGGTGTATCAAAATATAGCCTTTGTTTCCAACTTAAGCTTATGACTCTCTGCACACTTTATCTTCTCTATGTAGTAAATGGAAATGGGATCACAAATAATCTCATTCTTATTTAGACTTTTTATTTTCTGTAAGATTGTTAATTCATTTTCAGCTGTAAGAAATTACTCAGAAGGATCTGGAATCACCTACATTCCCCTCATACTAAATATATGAGGGAATATATAAAATATATATATATATATATAGAGAGAGAGAGAGAGAGCTATGCTCTATCATTATAGCCAAAAGTTGGCATTTTGACATCCCTTCATCTTACTCTGTTTTCATAATTTTAAATGTAGTTATTTACATGTGTGTACAGTTCTGTGAAATTTTACATCTGTAGGTTAATATCACCATGACCAGTCTAGATGTAGATCACTACAATGATTCTGTTATTATTTTTAGTCACACCCATTGTTTTCACTCCTCTACCTGTCTTTGTTAAAATGAAACCATTCTTCATGACAATACTTTTAACACTGAAGAACATTAGATGGGATCATGCAGTATATAATCTTTTGAAAGCAGATGTTTCTACCAGGATGATCTTCTAGAAGAAAATTCAAGTTATTCTACATATCAATAGCCTGATCTGTTTGTGGCTGCATAATATTGTATGCTACAGCTACATCTATGTGATCACTCATTGAAGTACTGATTCTAAATTTGTGCTATTACAAAAAATGTTGCTATAAATATTTGTCTACAGTTTTTGAATAAACAGTATTACATTGCTCTAGAACAAATGGCCACTAGTGAAATTTTGGTTTGGCAACTGCACATATAATTGTATAAGTAATTCCTAATTCTTTTTAGAGCAATTTTACTTTTTAAAAATATGCCCGTTGCCAGTGTGTGAGAGATATAGCTTATGTGCATTTCTGCCAGTATTTACTGCTGCTAATAATTTTATTTATTTATTCTAGTAGATGCACACTTATATCTAATTTTGGTTTTAATTGTATTTCCCTAATATCTAGTGACTTTTTTCTTTTTTTCTTTAAGATTTAAACCCTCTGGGCACTCCTTTAATCCCAGCACTTGGGAGGCAGAAGCAGGTGGATCTCTGTGAGTTCGAGGCCAGCCTGGTCTACAGAGCAAGTTGCAGGATGGGTTCCAAAGCTAAAGAGAAGCCCTGTCTCAAAAAAATCAAATGAAAACAAAACAAAAGCAAAAAAGATTAAACCCCATTTTGTAGCTCAGTCTGACCTCAAACTTATGCTCTTCTTGCTTTAATTTCCAAAGCACTAGAGTCATAACTATGCGTTATGAAAGCTGGCTCTAATGATACCCATCATCTTGTCATGTGCTTATTTGATGTTTGTATCTCTGTGAATATTTTCTCCTAGTATCTAGCATATCTTTTATTCTCTTTTCATGGTCTTTTACAGATAAAATTGGTTTCTTATAAGGATGTATGTATGTGTGTGTGTGTGTGTGTGTGTGTGTGTGTGTTTTCATGTATATATGTTTGTCCACGTGTGTGTGGGCACATTTGATTGTATATGGGTATGGGGTCCTAAGGGTGATGTCAGGAGTCTCCCTTAATTGCTCTCTATCTTGTTCATTGGGAGAAGGTCTCTTGGATTGAACCCAGAGCTCATCCACACAACTAGTTTAGCTCCTGGCACCACCCTCCAAACATTGGACATACAGGGAGCTGACATAGCACTTAAGTGAGTTCTGAGATCTGAATTCTGGTCCTTATGCTTGCTGTTTGCTGTTTGTTTGACAAGTGCTTTACCCACTGAGCCACCTAGCAAAGTCCAAAATTTACTTTTATGGATCATGTTTTATAGCAATGTCTACTAAATTTGTCTAGTTCTACCTCTCAGGAATTTTTATATATACTTTTGTTCTGAAATTGTTAACAGTTTTAAGTTTCATGTTTAAGTTTATTATCTAATTTAAATTGATTCATACATGAAATGTGAAGTTGAGGTACATTTTTTTTCATAAGGGTGTATAACTCTTCTACTATCTTTTGTGTATAAAATTGCCTTTACAGTTTGGCCAAACAATGATTATAGACACTGTGTGGAACTACAGCCATGAACGCTGTGTGCCTCTACATTTATTTAGTATTTTTAATAATATATTTATTCTTTTAAATTTTATTTTACATTCCAGCCACAGTAGTTCCTCCTGCCCCTCCTCTCTTTACCCCTCTTCACCCCCCCTCAGACCACTCCCAATCCACTCCCATGAGGAGTCAACAAAGTCTACCACAATAGGATGGGACAGGGCCTAGCCCCTCTCCCATGCATTAAGACTGAGCATGGCATCCCACGGTGGGGAGTGGACCCCAACAAGCCAGCTCATGTACCAGGTTTGTATTGTGCTCCTAGTGTCAGGGGCTCCTCTGATAGTCCAACCTTCACAATTGTGCCCCATATATTTGGTCTCCTGGAGTCCCTGTAGTTGTAGGTCTAGAGTTCATGGGTTTCCACAAGCTTGATTCAGTTGTTATTGCAGATTTCTCCATCATGATCTTGACCTCCCTTGCTCATATATTCCCTCTTCCCTCAGAGCTAGGCCTGGTTCTTGGTTGTGGATCTCAGCACCTGGATGAAGGCTCTATGGTGATAGTTGGGGTATTCACCAATCTGAATACAAGGGTAGGCCAGTTTGGGTATCCTCTCCACTGTGACTAGGAGTCTTAGCTGGAATTATCCTTGTGGATTCTTGGGAATTTTCCTAGCACCAGGTTTCTCTTTAACCCCTTAATAGCTCTCTCTATAAAGGTATGTTTTTCCTTGCTCTTCCACTGCAACCCTCATGTTCTCATCCCCTCCTCTCTCCCCTCCTACTCCCACCCTCAGTTAACCCAGTAGATCTCATCTAATTTCCTTTCCCAGGTGATCCAT